AACCGCTCTCTGCCTGGCCGCTGCCGCTCACCCCCATTGCAGCCCCCCCATGGCCCTCCCTCGACCCTAACACCACGCGCCTTTGTGCGCACGCGCTGTTGGGCGCTTCTGGAGGCGGGGGGAACCACCTGGCGGGCGCCGGATGCCACGGGAGTCCGGCAGGGGCGCAATCAGGCGCCCGCCATTGCTGCGCAGTTCCCGGAAACTAGTACCTCGGACGGTAGCCACGGATCAGCCACGGGAGCTCTATGCTCCCCAGATGTTGCGGTGAGATCGCGCCCGGAAACTCCGCCTCTCTTCCATCCCTCTTGCGTGCTTACTGCTCTGTGTGACCGCAGCCTCTAAACATTTTAAGCCGCCAATAACTTTTGTTAAATTGTGAATGAGCTAACCTGTTAACTAATGCAAAAGCTACCCACTTCCACATTAAATTAGGTTATTATGTGCCCACTGACTCACTTGTATAGTGGGCTGGGAACATCAAAAGCACACCGGTAACCTCTTTCAGTCTCTTCTATCACAAAGGCATCACAAGGCTCATCTGCACCATCCCCAAGGCCTACAAAAGATAAGGGCAATCACTGTTAGAAACTTTCTTTATTGTTAGTTCAACCAGCCTATTTCTCCCACAGTGAAACAACAGGTTCCACTGACAGCCACCAAGAGTTCCTTATGTCACCTTTCTATCCATTTCGAAAAGCAAAATGCTGCTTTTAAAACTTGCCCGTGCGGAGTCTTCAGAAAGCAACAATTGCAGTCAACAACATGGCACTTTCCCCCTTCCCTTGGCTGTATTCTGCAAAATAGCCCTGTAGGAACTATTTTGCACATTGCAATAAAGCCCCTACAACTGTATACAGAAATACTGAGCTTCCCTACCATTTGCCACAACTAGCCCACCACACAACCAGGATCAAGACTCCTAAGTGGACCAACAGACAGGCATACACTCATTTGAGAAACTGAGTATTACATTACAACACCTCTGGAACATTACAGATCAGTAGAGGCAGCACTGCACAGTGGTCAGAGTTGCAGATTGATGTGGGGAGACCCAGGTTTGTATTCTCAGTCTGCTGGCTGAGTGACCCCAGGCCAAATCTCCCCTTCTCTACCTAACCTACCCCACAGGGTTGTTGTGAGGATGAAATGGAGACTCATGGGCAGGGTCCCCAGCTTCCCTGGCAGAAACACTATGTTAAGAAATCTCTCACAATTATGCAGCCATAGCAGGCAGGAGGGAAGGAGGCAAATACCTCCAGCACCAGAGACTTGTAGAGAAAGAGTCAAACTTTGGGGACTCACCTGTGCACCAGAGGGCCAAGGCAGCAGGAGGCAAGAAGCCTGGGCGAGCTGGGCTCCTCCATGCCTGGCAGAAGATGAGTTGCAGAGGCGAGAGGTGGGCAAGCAGAAGAGGCACTCAGCCAGCTGCACAAGCTGCGTGCAAAGAAACTCCCGCCGCCCCAAGCTTCAGGGCTGCCTCGTTAAAGGAGTACGGAGGTCAGACTCGCAAATGAGAAAAAGCAAGCTCAGGGTTCGTGGGTTGCATTTTGGGCTGTGGAAGAGAAACCGGCTCCATTCCTGGAGTTCTCTCGAGTTCCTGCGCTTTTGGTTTTGCTTTCTGCCAATCCGCCTCCCAAGACTGCTCCAGGTTCTCCGGCCTGAGGGCTGCTGGGGCTTCCCGCAGTTCGGCCCCATTATATCCTATAGGACATTGAAGTCAATGACGAAAACATAGGGTGTATTCTGGGGGCTGGAGGGGAGGGGGTTTGAGGGAGAGGCTCCAGAATTGCAGGGTAGCTGCTGGAGCCTCTCCCCAAGATACCCACCATGTTTCAGGAACATTGAACCAGGGGGTCCAATTCTACAGGCCCCCAAACAGGTTGCCCCATCCCCTCCATTGTTCTCTATGGTGGGAAAAAAGTTACTTTTTTCCCACCATAGAGAACAATGGAGGGAATAGGCCATCAGCGCCTACAGCGGAAGATCCACACTCAAGGGGCCAAAGAGCCGCATGTGGCTCTAGAGCCGCAGTTTGCCTACCACCGCCCCAGGCTAAATGGAGATGGAAAGCATTTTTCACAACTGAATTAACTTCTTTCTCCAGAAATAATACTGTGTCCAGTGTGACCTCAAGGCTCTTTACTGAGTCAACCAAGGTCTGCTGAATCTCATCAAATATGGGGAGCACCTCTAAGACCTCAGCCTTCCTGACTAGCATCACTTCCATCATGTCAGGACAACCTCACAAACAGAGATTGATAACTGAAAGAATTTTTTTGAATCACAGTAAAAAAATGAACTGCAACTGTGCATATGTACCTCCAATAAATCCCTGCCCTGGGTAGCCCAGACTAGCCCAGTCTTGTCAGATCTGGGAAGCCAGGCAGGGTTGGCCCTGGACAGTATTTGGATGGGAGACCTCCAAGGAATACCAGAGTCTGATGTGGAGTCAGGCAATGGCAAACCACCCCTGAACATCTTTTGCCTTGAAACCCCCATGGGGTTGCCATAAGTCAGCTGTGGCTTGACGGCATTTTCCACCACCACCTCCTATAAACCAATTGTCTGCAAGGCATCTAAGCAACACTGTTAGAGGTGTCCTGTGCAGTCTGAGAAATGCATACCATGTAAAAAATCCCCAAAAAAAATCCAAAGCAGGTCTACCCAGAAGAAAGTCCCATTTTATTATTATTTTATACAGTGGGACTTTCCAGAAAACAGTCTTAGGACTGCAGACAAAATGTCTGTAAATCAAAGTAGTTTCAGGTGTTGGTCCGAAGTAACAGAACAAAGTTTGAGTCCAGTGGCACCTTTAAGACCAACAAAGTTTAATTCTGGGTATAAGCTTTCGTCTGCATGCAGAATTAACCTTTGTTAGTCTTAAAGGTGCCACTGACTTTGTTCTGCAAATCAAAGTATACATCCAGAAGTGTGTATGCATAGAATGTCCCTCTCCGTCTCACTTTTTTACACACACACACACACACACACACACCCTACATACAGTGCTATTTGCACCTGCAAATCTCCCTAGGGAATGCACGGCATGAGATATTGTACTGTACTCCCTCAGGAAACTAGAATGCACAAGCTCAAGTCTATTCCCAGCAGTGCTATAGGCTTCCAGCTATGTGGCAATCATCCTATCTACACAAAAATGAAATATGTTGATTGCCAAGCATATTACTTTCTTCTAGACTTATAGGATCCCCAAAATTATTTACAGGCTTTTCATAAAGATAAGCATGGTACAAAACAAACTTCATAAAGCACAGAAATAAATAAATAATGCCACTTTATTTATTTATTTATTTATTTATTCTATTTATACCCCGCTCTCCCCACAAGTGGACACAGGGCGGCTGACAGAATTGGTACCCAGTACCATAAAACCATACAAAGATTAAAACATTCCAAAACATTTAAAACAATCCAATACACAAGTGCTAGTGCTCTGGCCACTTCCGCACTGTCATTTTTGTCACTCGTTTTTCCCTATTGCTTTTCCACATGTGTTTTGCTCTCTCTAGTAGTCCCAGAGAGAGCAAAACACACGTGGAAAAGCAATAGGGAAAAACAAGTGACAAAAATGACAGTGCGGAAGTGGCCTCTGTCCAGTTTCAGTACCTACCGACGCTAATTCCAACCACCTCTCATGTAAAAAATTATGTACTTAAGCCTATGCACAAATGTGTTTTATAGAAAAACGGCATCTGCTTCAGAAAATAAAGATATTAATGTCTTACATATCAATCAGAAGTAAAGCTTTCAGTCCTTTTCATGATTTATTTATTTATTTTGCCCTGCCCTGGATATCCCAGGCTAGCCTGATCTCATCCAATCCTGGAAGCTAAGCAGTGTGCACCAGGATTCCCACAAAGCTGAGTCAGTGAGAGCTAGCTCACAGTTTTTTAGCCTCTAGCTCACACACTTTCGTCTTCGCTCAGGAAGGATGGCTCCAGAGCAAACTAATTTATGCAGTAGCCAAATCACTCGCTCACCACTTTAATGCCAGTAGCTCACAAAGTAGAATTTGTGCTCACAAGACTCCACAGCTTAGAGGGAGCATTGGTGTCCACCCTGGTCACTATTTGGATGGGAGACCACCAAGGAATACCAGGGTCACTACACGGAGGCTGTGGTCAGACAGCGTGCTGGGAGCGAGTTAAACTGCTCTGGTTCTAACCGGATTATATTTGATCTGGATAATCGCGATCACACTTACCTCCTTTATCCCGCCTCACCGCGCAGTCACGTTGCTCCCTGGAGTCTACACTACTGACGCGCAGGAGCATGTGTTGGCGGGTTTTTAAAAAAATTCCTCAGTTTGTGCATGTGCATAGGTGCCCCTCCGTAGAAGAGGGGGGGAATAATCATGGTGTATGCGCAGAACCACCAGGGTGAATCAATCCAACCCCTCCAACAAAAGACTTCCCTTTAAATGTTTGACCCGAAAATGGCCTCTGTGAGATCCCGAACTCATCTAAACACTAAAACAAGTGACCGTTTAAATGTCGGTTTTCTAAACGTGGTGGCGGAGCTACACATATGCACACACCACCAACGCATTAAAAAAATGGCGGGCGAAAAGCGGAAGCTCGGGCAGCTTTCAAGCGGGGAAGGGGTTTAAACCGGAAGGGGCTCGACACCGCAGGAGCCATCAGACATCAGAAAAGTGCGGCTAAAACGGGAGAATCAGGAAAACACCACTTGGGGACAAAACACTCCATTTTAAAGGGGGTTTGAGCCGGAAAGCGACAGCTGGGGATGGTGCACAGACATTGGGTATGTGAACGTGGATATAAAATCCGTTACTGAAGCGTGCCAAAAGCGGACTAAATGGCCCATCTGAACGCACCCAGAGGCAGGCAAACTACCTCTGAAATCTCTTGCCTTGAAAACGACAGGGGTGCCGGAACTTCCGGTTGATGGTGGCACGCTCACGGACTGACCTCCCGGACCTCCCAGGGGTGTCTCCGTGCTCTGGCGGACGGAGGGGGTGAGCAGGCTCGTAACCCCCCCCCCAGGAGCACGAGGAAGGGCACCTGGCCAAGGAGCTTTGAGGGGGTAGCCTCTTCTCTGGCTGAATGCCAGAGAATCGAGGCTCCCCCTTGCTCCAGTGGTCCGTCCAGCCGAGAGACCTGATGGTACAAGTGAAGCTAGCCGGGTCAAGCACAGGAGATCAGGCGTTTGAAATGATGAATGAAGAGGGGTCGGAAGACCAACTATGAACATGAGTCAAATGAGAACTGATTTTTAAACGAAAAGACACTCCTTACCTGAAGCGGCGAAACGGCAGAAGCGAGTGGTGGGAGGGACGCCTCCCATGCCCATAAATCGTTGAGCGAAAGGGGAGGGAGTGGAAGAATAAACAAGAAACTGCTCAGAAGTACTCATCCATCGAGCTATACAGATAAGCGCATATTCAGAGACTTTAAAATTTATTGTGAAAGCAAACAAATGAGAAAAAGATGGCGGCGAAGAGGGACAGAGACAAAGAGAAACTTTTAAAACCAAAACTAGAGTCCCAGAAGCCGGAAACGACCAGTGAGACGA